AACCATCGTTTTCGCATTTCTAGGAATGTGACATTTTTTGATAATCAGTTTATGTTTCCATGCGTTTCTCCTGTCATGAATGATATTGTTACTCTTCCTAAGTTCTCTATTATGCCTCAATCTATAGAGCGTTATAAACCAGGTCATGTATATGTCAGAAAACACAAACAGCAGGTTCCCACACCCCTTCCCGATGCTGAACCGCCACCTGATCCTGTAACGGTTGAACCACGACGTTCTGTTCGAATATCTCGAGCACCAGACAGATATTCACCAGACAGGTATGATTCAGCACATACTTCTCTGACTGCCACCCTCTCTGGCATATCTATTCCTACTTGTTATTCACAGGCTGTTAAAGATGTACGTTGGATAAAAGCAATGAATGAGGAACTTCAAGCTCTTCAAGAGAATTTCACATGGGATATTGTCTCTTGTCCTCCAGATGTCAAACCCATTGGCTGCAAATGGGTGTATTCTGTGAAATTGAATTCGGATTGGTCCCTCAACCATTTCAAGGCTCGCTTGGTTGCCTTAGGAAACAAGCAGGAATATGGAATTGATTATGATGAGACATTTGCACCGGTTGCTAAAATGACATCCATTCGTACGGTACTCTCTATAGCTGCTTCTAACGGGTGGGCTCTTTATCAATTAGATGTGAAAAATGTTTTTCTTCATGGTGACCTCGCGGAAGACATTTATATGACTCCTCCTCAAGGTTTATTTTCATCATCTAAGGGTGTGTGCAAGCTTAAACGCTCCTTATACGGTTTGAAACAAGCACCTAGAGCATGGTATGAAAAATTCCGCTCCACTCTACTTGGGTTCTCCTTTACTCAGAGTCAGTATGATTCTTCTCTATTTATTCATAGAACGTCTACTGGAATTGTCCTACTTCTTCTGTATGTTGGTGATATGATTATTACTGGTTCTGATCATGCTTCCATTCAAAGCCTTAAACAGCAGTTACAAGCAGCGTTTCATATGAAAGATCTTGGTAATTTGCATTATTTTCTTGGTCTTGAGGTTCATTCTACATCCAAGGGCATATTCCTCCATCAACACAAGTATGCCACAGATTTAATTTCCATGGCTGGTCTCCAATCGGCTAATCCAGTGGATACTCCGCTTGAGGTTAATGTTAAATATCATCGTGATGATGGTGATCTGTTGCCTGATCCCTTATTGTATCGTCAACTCGTGGGTAGCCTTAATTACTTGACTATTACTCGCCCTGACATATCGTTTGCTGTTCAACAAGTAAGTCAATTCATGCACTCTCCTCGCCACCTTCACTTGGCAGCAGTTCGTCGTATAATTCGTTACTTGAAGGGAAGCTCTCATCGTGGTTTATTCTTTCCTAGTGGAGTTGCTCCTAAATTGAGTGCTTATAGTGATGCAGATTGGGCAGGGTGTCCTGATACTCGACGATCTGTCACTGGTTGGGGCATGTTTCTTGGCTCTTCATTGATCTCATGGAAAAGTAAGAAACAAGCGAGAGTCTCTAAATCTTCTACTGAATCTGAGTATCGTGCCATGTCTGCTGCTTGTTCTGAAATAATTTGGCTTCGTGGTCTTTTGGCTGAACTTGGATTTCCTCAAATAGAGCCAACTTCGCTTTATGCTGACAATACAAGTGCCATCCAAATTTTTGCGAATCCTGTTTTTCATGAACGCACCAAACATATTGAAGTTGACTGTCACTCAATTCGTGATGCTTATGATGACCGAATCATATCACTTCCTCATGTCAGTACTCAGTTGCAGATTGCAGATATTCTTACCAAGGTTGTTCCGCGTCCACGTCATCAGTTTCTTGTTAGCAAATTGATGCTTATTGACAAGCAGCATCAATTTGAGGGGGGATGTGAATAAGGGTTTGTTCCTAGAATAAGGGTTTGTTTCTAGAATAAAGGAAACAAATTAGAAATTGACTTGTTCTCATTAAAATGTAATTATTTAGTGTAATTACCAATATAGCCCTGTAACCTCTATATATACGAGAAATAATAATGAGAAAAGCATTAAGCCAAGAATTCTTGACATCACCAGTATCGAAACAGTTGAAAATCAAGTCCTTCTTCCAACATCCAGGGTCACTATCAATAAGGTCCTTAACTCTGGCCTCTTGATCGAAACCTCTAACAGTTCCAAGTATCTTGAATCCATTATTCTCCAAAATCCCTCTATCATTGCAAATCGAAACTCTCTCCCCATTACCTATCCTCCACCTAGCACCCTTGTTAACCAGGTCCTTCGCACTAAGGATACTCCTCCAAGCATAGTTGGGGGTGAATCCAATCGAGCTTTCAGCAACTGATCTAACGCGGGTAGTACCTGACTTTAAAGACTATGCTAAACAAAAAATTCTCATTTGTCAAAAGACAGCAATAATGTTTACCAAGAAGACCAGTATTAAAATCACTGATCCCCAGAAAACCCAAGCCTCCATCACCCTTAGCTCTTGCCAGTTTGTCCCAGATTATCCAATGAATTTTCATCTCACCGTTCTTAGCCCCCCCCCCCCACCAAAAGCTAGCTATCATTTACTCAATCTCATGATAGATTGTCTCCAGAAACTTGTAGCAACTCATTATATAGGTAGTGATTGCCTGAGCTACAACTTTTATGAGAACCTCCTTCCCTGCTCTAGACAGAAACCTCTCCTTCCATCTCTTAAGCTTCTTCCAAACCCTTTCAATAACCAAAGCAAAGATATCTCTCTTAGATATTCCAAAAATAATCGGCAATCTCGGGTACTTTGAGTGGCTTGAGACAGTCTTGACACCCATCCTGATATGAACCAAGTCTATGTTCTCTTCACCAACATTACGACTAAAAGAAACTTATGGTTTATCCAAGTTCACAATCTCACCTGAGGGATCTTGATACTTATGAAGAGTTTTCAAAATGAAATATGCCTCATGGGGGTTGGCTCTTGCAAAAAGAAGCTTGTCATCAATGAAAATAGATGGGTGATAATAAGAGCCTTTCTAGCCACCTGAACTCCGTGGATCCTCTTATTCTGGAACTCTTGCTTCAATAAACCGGAAAGAACATCAACATACAGAATTAACAGGTAAGAGGATATGGGATCCCTTTGACAGTGACCCCTCTCAGGGAGAAAAGGCAGGTTGGGTTGACCATTCACCATAACCTTGTAAGACACAAATTAGATGCACCTCTTGATGAGATTGATCATAATAAGAGGAAATCTCATTGAGGAAAGAACTTCAATAGTGAAAGGTCATTCCAAATGATCATATGCCTTGGACATATCCAACTTTAACGCCATGAAACCTTTCTTCCCTTTCATTTTATTCTTCTTCCAATTGAAGCACTCCATACCATTGGGGCATTGTCTGTGTTGATATGTCCCTTCATGAAAGCACTTTTCTCTTCCTCAATGATATCCGGGAGGATATTTTTGATTATATTGTCAATTATCTTTGTTATCACCTTCATCACCATGTTATAGAGACTAATCATACGAAAATCCTTTGCACTAGAGGGATGCTTACACTTGGGAACAAAAACAGTGTGAGTGTTGTTGAGCACCCCAGAATCAACATTGTTGTTAAGAACATCTAGCACCAAACTGAAGACCTCAGGACCAACAATATCCAGTATTTCTAGAAAAAGATAGCATGAAGGCCGTCAGGGCCTGGAGCCTTGAGAGGATGCATCTGGAAGACGTCATTCTCAATCTCTTGAGGCGTAAACTTCCTATAACACCAACTGACATGATTAGGATTCAACTTGCCTTTCACAACTGCAAGACCTCACGAATATTTATGGGAAGGGAAGAGGAAAACATGTCAGAAAAATAATGAATCAATATTTGTTCACAGTGCGCGTCACCTTTCCACCAGATGCCATTGTCATCTTTGAGCTTTCTAATAGTATTTATTTTCTTTCTTTGATCTGACTTGCTATGGAAAAAATTTGTGTTCTTGTCTCTGTGCTAAGCCACAAAGCCCTGTTGCATTGTCTCCAGATAACCTCCTCAGCATGCAGTAATTTATTCTTCTGACTCTCAAGATTAGCTTCCCAATTTTTGTCCTCCTTCAACAACTCTTCAATTCTCCCCATCTCTTTTCTAACGAAACTTCTTCTATACTCCTGGAAGAGAACACGAATTCCTTACATAAATTCACGTTTTTTATGACCCCTAACTGCATTGTTGTTCCAAATCTGAGCCACCAAAGTTTCACATTTTGGGTATCTGCTCCAAACCTATTCAAACCTGAACATATGTTTCATCTTCCTACCCAAGCCATCAATATGAGCTTCAAGGTCAATTATGATTGCGGCATGATCTGAACCGTACCGGGGCAGGTGATTCACTCGAATGAGAGAGAATCTATTGATGAAACTCTTCGTTTCTAAACTCCTATCAAGCCTGCATTGAATATTATCTCTCCCTTCACGACCATTTGTCTAAGTGAATTTATAACTTGCAAAACCCAAATCAGTTAGTCCACATAAATCCATAGCATGCCTCCCCCAAGAGAGTTGGCTATTGTTTCTTGTATTCCCCCCACACTTCTCATGGTCAAACACAATATCATTCAGATCCCCAAAACATAAAAATATATCTCCCCCGCTATTAGCCTTCTCCTGAATTAACTTCTAAGTGTTCCTCTTATTAGGCTCCTCCGGATAGCCGTAAACACCACTAAAAAACCACTTCTGATTATAAAAATTATCAACCATCAATCTCCCTATATGATTGAGAGAGAAGGAATCAATGGTAATTTGCATCTCATCTTTCCAAAATAAGATTAAACCTCTAGATCTTTCCTTCCTGTTACCTCTGCACTCCACAAAATAACAACCAACAAAATAAATTTTGGATTTTAAGACTCGCACTTCACCACTCTTTAAATGCATCTCCATGAGAAAAAGAACATCAGGATTTTGGATACGATTGAGCCTCAACAAGGCTCGAACTGCAAGGAGATTCCCGAACCCCATGCAGTTCCAACTTAGGATTTTCATTGAGGAAGGCAGCGTTGGGCTTCCAACACCACCTCTGGTTCTTCGATTGTATCCATCACAAAGGCTTGGCTCTTCATTTTCTTTTCCCCACTACCATATCCCTCAGCAGTACCATCCACTACCATAACATCCACTAATTTGTGTTTCCCAATCTCCAATTCCAACTTCTTAGCTTGACTTGGGTTGACTTTTCTATTAGTGGGTTTCCTTATCCATTTATTCTTCTTTGTACCAGGACCATTGGTAGTTGCGGCATTTCTGTTTCCTTCATCTTCCTCTTTTGACAAAGGTATTTTCTTCCACTTTTCCATCACAGACACCAAAGAAATATTGGGAGCAGGGTGCGCACCTGCTAGTAAGAGAAGATAAGAACCAAACAAAGATTTGGGGAAAACTGTAAGGGAGGCCTCACAGAACCTTTGACCAGGCTTAGGAAGAGGGGAGACACATTAATTTTCTAGAGAGAAGTGAGACCGTCTCTCTCTAAACACGTGGAAAACTTGAATATGTACTTATTTTTTCATTACTTCGATAAAATTGAAATGTTTTAGGAATTAAATTTGTTTTTTCAATCACTATAATTTGCCCCAACATAGAAGCACCACAGGAGTGAAATTTGAAGAACAAAACAACAAAGAAGAAGAATTGGATATGGTACTTAAAGTATTAATTAAAGCTCATCGAATCTACCAAGAAAGTTGCACGAAAATCTTGATTGTAGGTAACATTCATTTTATTTTTTTCAAATATTTCTTTTCATTTAGTTAGTAATGCATGTGTTAAATTTCACTTTAAAAGAATGATTATTTTCAATATCGTCTTTCATCACAACAGAGTTTGTTAGTGACAACACCATGTTTTATAGAGGTAGAGTTTCATGTGATTGTGTAAAAGTAAATGACATAAAGTTTATGAAGGTGTAGGTAAAGAAGGTATAAGATCGCAAGCCACACCTCGATGCGCTTGATCAGGTTTAGGGGCAACTTTTCCTACTTGGTTCATACTAGTATACTCTAATAACGCCAAATCAATGACCTCAAAGGGCGTATTATTCGGAATGTTTTATGACCTTCAGAATTAGTGTGGACATGTGTCGCTACTACGAAAAACACCCGGCAGAAAACAGAAGATTCGTCACCTTTCGTTATTTATCCCAAAGAGAGGGAAACGAAACGATCGGAAAAACCTGACGAAAAAGGGAAAAGACGAGGTTATCGCAACTAAGTCCTGGATTCGGGAGTCGGTTACGCAAGAGGAAGGTATTAGCACCTCTCACGTCTGTCGTACTCGACGGGATCCACGCTTGTTGTCTATCTAAGGGTGTGTTTAACTATCTATGCTATAGGCTCACAGGACAAAAAGAAAAGAAAGAGACTCGGCAGAGCATCGCCGCTCTGTGCCTACATATTCCCTCGTGCAATGGGAAAGTCAGAGTCAACGTAGTTCGGCTAACTACGGGAGAGAAAGGGGGGAAGGTTGCTCGCCAAGACATCGCGTCTTGTGCCTACGTACTTTCATCTGGTATGAAAGATCAGAGCAAACATAGTTCGGGATGACACGAAACCACAGATTGAGTAAGTGTTTTAATCGAGTAAGGTTAAACATCCGTTCCAGCAGTTAGGGACTAAGCCTGTTTGCGGTAGAACCGAAGCTTAACAACACTCTTTTCTGAAAAAGAAGTTTCCGATTAATCCCGAAGGAAAAAGGTTTGAATTTTTGTTTTGTGTTTTTTTAGTGAAGTGAATTAATTCGGTTTGTGATTCACGTTGCACTAAAGACTATGACATGGAGGCGAATGCGTCGTATATCTCCCCCAAACAGGACGTATACTAAACACTCTAGATAAGCAAGAGGATACCCCTCACTCATCATTCCCCATGTAGCTTAAGGCTCGTAGCGCACAACGTTTATCGCCTTTTTTAGATGAGTTAGCATGATTTTGAGATGAGAAGAGAGACGCACGGAAGGTCTAAGGGAAGCTCGACCCTAACATTGTCATGCAAAGTGGTCCTAAAGTTTGGATGAAAAGGGGAAACATTTACCCTAATGTTGGCATACTTGGATTAAACACCTAATGTCTCTCCTACTCCCATCCTAAACGGGGGGACTAGGAATCCTATGGGGATCATGGCAAAAAGCACAAGAAGAACAAAGGAAGGATCAATCACAAGTAGAAAATATGCAAACATGTAAATGCAACACTTAGAATGGTGGGAGGGAGGAAAAAATGTGTGGGGCAGCAGCCGTCACAAGCGCGTCTCGACCTCAATAGCGATGCAAGAATGATGCAAACATGTGGAGAAATGCAAGAGATGAAAGCATATGAACATGCAAACAAATGATCAATTTGAACCACACACACAAGCATGTAAACAAATGGAAGAATGAACATACATGTCAACAATATCATGATTAACTAACCACAAACAGTGACAAATATCCAAAACATTTCAATTCTAATGCATCACACTGATTTATGATGATTCGAATCGAAACGGTGTGCGAACAAGCAAGCAAAACAGCAAATATGACATTCTGTCACAATGTTAATCGGTTAACACACACTGTTAATCGGTTAACCTGTGTAAAACATGTGAAAATCTGGAAATTCGTAGGTGTTAATCGGTTAACACCAGGCGTTAACCGGTTAACACCCTGAAATCTTTGAAAAATTTGAATATTTGAATTGGTTAGCCGGTTAACCATATACGTTAACCGGTTAACACTGTACCAGAAGCCAAAAACAGCAGCAGAGAATCACTTATAGCACCAAAATAGTTTATCCATGATTCCAACAGATCAACTTATCAATTAAGCACGAAATTGACAACAAAAAACAGAGATCCAACAGCATGGATACACAATTATGCAACAATATCACAAATCGGACGGATCGAAATCAACAAAATTCAATCGAATATGAAAATTAACATGATAAGCTCAAAAATTAAATCGGATTGAGGATTCCAACCTTCGAGGCGGAGATTTGCTTCGGTAAATGTTGATCAACTGAATTTGAGCCGATCAAATGCTAGAAATCCGGAAAACTTCAAGATCCACAATAATTGTTGTTGTATGAATGAAGATCCACCAAATTTGAGTCAAAAAGCTTCAAATAATCACTTCTAGATCCAACTCCAGATTCAGATCCAAGCTTGCACGAAAATTAAAGATGAAGATTGATCCAATGATGATGGTAAATGGAGGTTTATGCTCAAGAATACATTGATTCCAATGAAGAATCAAGAATTCCAATGAAAAAGAGCTTTGAGTGAGTTTTGGAAATGGAGAAGTTGAGAGAATTTGAGAGAGAATTCTGATCAATTCTGAAAAATGAATGTGAGAAATGAAAATTGGATGGTTTGGTTTGGAGTAAATCACTTAAATACCATCTAGGTTTGGATCCCAAAGCAAGGATTGGAATTGGATTGGAAAACAAGGCTTGGAATGTGGAATGGGATTTTGGAGGGAAACCTGAAATTTAAAGGTGTTCTAGATCCTTCCCAAGTGAAAATTTGAATTCCAAGGTGATCAAAATTGGACCTCAAGTGCATTTGGCTTGCAAAATCACGTACAGGGCAAAATCTGGTATCGTTAACCGATTAACCATATGCGTTAATCGGTTAACACTGTTAAAATTTCAAATTTGGGCTAATTTTCCTTTGGTTAACCGGTTAACCATATAGGTTAACCGATTAACGCCTTCAAATTTTGAATTCTGGCGCCTTTTGGTGGGAAATCTGTCCATTTGCCCTGTTTCAACCGTTTGGAGCTCTATTTAGCTGTTGAACCTCACTTTTGAACGTTATCACCGTGAAAATACCTGTCACGAGCCTGAGTGCTGATCTTGGTCTGAAATTAACCTGCAAAATAAAGTCGGTCGCCTGACCGCTGAGCAAAATAAATACCCGAGCCTCTAATGCTCGCGGTTTGATGTTCAGTCTTTTGCTCTAAAATGAACCTGAGCCACAGGAACGCCTTGATCCCATGCCTCGAGAACGAATGCTATGATATGTGAAAAATGCAAAGAAACAAAACCAGTTACGATTACAACGAAAGACAAATTTTTGGGTGCTACAACATGCCCTAAGAAGACATTGGATCCAAGAAAATGGTTGAAGAAATCATTGGATGACATAATAACTTATATTTTTTTGGTTCCATGTGTTGTACATGTTAATATCTTCTAAAGGTTTTGATGATGACAATTGATCAAGAAATAATAAACATAAGTATCATTAGTCAAGAAACAACCACAAGTTAAAGTATTTAAAGTTCCAGTTGGTAGAGCAAATTAAAGTTAAATCAAGTTATCAAAAGAAAATAAATTTGTGATGTTGTTAAAGATCGTCTGATCATTCACTTAGTGTTATATCTAGTAGTTTGATCAGTTAAATGTAAATGAAGTAAGAGTGAGTTTTACAGTACTAAGGTAATGCACACACGAACTAAACTCTTCATCTTTTTTTCTAAAAACTTTTTATAATCAATAAGAGAAAGTACTTAATCTATTAAGAAACGTTTTAATTAATTAGGAAAGCAAAACTCAATTTCCTAATTGATTAGGCTTTTCTTCTAATCGATTAAAGCAAGAGTAATAACTTTGAATTTATTAAGTAGGATTGTTAATCGATTAAGTGATGCAACAAATTAGGGTTTTCTTTTCTGGGTTAATCTGGTCGATTAGATTGTTGTTCTAATCGATTAGAAAGTTCCAAAGACCTATGGACTAGTGCATTTTTTTCAAAAAAAGTTTTTATTTTATTTTATAAAAGAACGATTTCCTCAAGTCTCAACTCACCAGTTTAAAGAGTTATCAACTTTTTTATCTATCATATGCTTCTTCTTTTATAAGTTTAATTCACTAGTCGCTGCCTTAGTTCTGAGAGAATGAAAAGTTTCATCTAAGAGTTGTGGTGTTCTATTGTTATGCTGAATTTTTTGATTCAAGATCTTAATTCTCTTGTTATCTTGTAAGAGATTTGAAGGTTGCAAGCTAAAGCTGTAAAATGCTTGGTGAAAGGATGTTGGGTTGAACCTGTACAAAAGCCCAAGTTATCCACATAAGGTTATTGAGTCGATCCTATGAAAAATCTCAAGTTAAGTAAGGTTGTTAGGTTGATTCTATGTAAAAGCTCATGTTATTGTTTAGTGGAAGTCTCAAGAGTAAACTCTTGGAGACTATAGTAGGCCGAATGGCTGAAGGTCGAACTAGGATGATCTCAAGTGTGATATTTTCTTACCATAACTCTTTATAATTCTATCATTTATATTTCTGACGCTTATTATCTTTTTTTTTACTGGTCAAAAA